GTTTTAATAGATGAAGTAAGAACATTCTGAGATAATTCCTTTCTCTGTCCTGGATATATGGTTTCTCTATTTTTTCCTCTATTTAAGTCTTTAATTATTAAAGCTTTTTTTTTTTTTTTGGTACCTTTTTTTTCTCTAGTTGACTATTCTTGAGTATATTGAGGCTATAGATAGACTTTTTCAAACTCTCCCATTGCTCCATCCTTCTTTAACTTAAATTATTCTTTCATAACTGAGGCAATAGCACAAAGCTTTTCATAAAAAAAGGTCTTGTTCAGTTGCTTGACATTGGGATTACATGACAAAGAAATGGCTCAGTGATTTAGGAAGTCTCCATTTTCAAGTTCATCATCGAAATGCTTAGATAATAAAGGAGTTGAGCATTCTTTGGAAAGATCTGTAAAATTACTACTTGAGAGTCATTATTGCTTGTATAGTACTTTCATGGACTTTAGGAGCTTTAAAATTTGCTTGGCAAAAATGAAGGACTACACAACTCTGCAGTAAAAGTCCTAAATATACCCACTGGTTAATAGTGGTTTCACAAGGATCTATATAATATTCATGAGAGCCAATCATTCTCTTGATATCTCCTGTACTTCTTCACTATCAGACTTCCAAGCTGCAATAATTGTGTCTATAACGTATTTAGTAACCTGTCCTCTAATGAACAGACCTTAAGATATGCTCGACATTTTGCAGTGGCATGCGTTCTGAGTAGCTAAATGATGTAGTGTAGCCTGCAATACTGACCAGATGCAATGCTGTGAAGGCACAATTCAGTTTTCAGACTTCAACAGAAGTCTGAGTTCTGGCTGTACGTGGAAGAGAATAGATTCAGAGAAAGGCGAGAAAATGTCAGGACCGTGCACATGAAGAGACTCATGTAACAAATAATGAAGAAAGTGATAAAAGGTTAAAAGCTGAATTATAAGGTGCCTGCCTTATTTCCGAAAGAGACCATATGAAAAACTACTTGGGTAAAATATCATTAACTGTGAGTATTAGGGACTTCTGTTTTATACTCTTGTTGCATAATATTGGTCTACTCTTCTTTTTGTTTTATGTTTTGTATGTCTGTCTTGGTTCTGATTCCTAGATCTTTCTTTTTCTTGACTCATTCAGTCCTAGAATCTATCTTGTAGTTTCTAACACGTAATGAAGTACCTAAAATTTCTAAAAGCATTCTAGTCTTTTTCTTCAGCACTAGATGCATTATTTAGCCCTTGGATATCAGATTTGGAGATCTGATTGCACAATAGTAACTCGCATGCAGACATTTGTATTTTCATAGCAAGTGAACAGCTCACTGCAATGAATGTTAAACTTTCTGTACTCCAGAAACAACTGTTTACATTAAGGACTGAAAATTTAGGCAATAGTACTAAATTATTATTAATTTCTTCAGGAATATTTTTTCATGTCTTTCAAATACGTCTTCAAAATAATAGGCTATTTTACAGATATCAGTACAAATGGTACCTTAAAATCAATAGTTACACCTGGGTTAGCTCTGTCTGCCCAAAAGACAAGTAAAAAGTATTCTGGGAGCAAGGAAATCACATCACTTCAACTCTTAATATATCACCATATGTTGTTGTGTTGGCTTTTTTTTTCTTATTCTTATTTTATGTCTTCTATAAGAAAATGCATTAAGGAGGAAGTTCATAACACTGACTGAGACATCCATGTCCATCTTTCCGTGAGGGGTGAGAAGAGGAAGATAATGTTTCTTTCAGTCCGGGAAATACACTGTTATAGCCTCCTCCATTTTAGGGGTCTCTCTGGGAATGCTGAACCAACTGTGTCTATCTGGTAGGCATTCCCACCTTTCCTAAATTTGAAGATGGCAGATTCTGTCAAAACCTACTTAAAAACTCTGTCCTCTCTCCTCAGTAAAACCTCTTGCTTCCAAGGTGGTTTATTTTATGTAAGTAGTACTATATTGTCAAAGCAGATAAATTTAGAGGGCAGTTAAACAAGCTGTAACTCTTTCTTTGAAACTTAAAAATCATTCTGTCTTTTATACCTGAATTGAGTTGACTAATTTACATTTTAAAGAGGGAAAGATGTTGTATTATTAAGTTTTAATTAGGTAGTACCTCTCAGCTCTGATAACGCAATATATACAATGCCTGTTCTGACTGCATGTGTAGGTTATTTAATTATCATGTTTTTCCAGGTTGGATTTTTCTATTTTACTTCAGTGATACCTAGTTCTTTTAAATTTTGAATCAGTTTGATTTGTCATTAACCGAAATGTAGCTTTAATTTGGCAAAGGCAAAGAAACAAACCATATGAAAATGTTCAACCATGTTGATTTGAAGATAATAACATTTTGTTCAGATTTACAGATGCTTTTATGTACCATGCAGTTTTAAGATATACTTTTCTGTAAATATGCCCCTGCATGAAAGTTCAGCTGGATATTCTTTATTTAGAGGGACCAAATTTCAATTTGCTGTGCAGCAGCAGTGATTTGGATTGGTTGGTTTCTATGTCCCTATATCTGTGCCTGAACTTTTGGCCAGTCACCACGCTTTGGAAAAAAGGCCATAACCAATTTAATTTTTATGTGTCTCTGAAAATTTCTTCAGAGTACTTTTAAACTACAATATTAGACTGTTGGCACAAGATTCCAGATACTTTATATATTATCCAGAAATGCTTGAAAAAAATTCAAACATGAGCAGATATTGAATAGATAGATAGATAGATAGATGATAGATAGATAGATAGATAGATAGATAGATAGATAGATAGATAGATCTGTTTGACAATTGTATAGTAAAAGTGTATTTTGCTATTTACCTCACAGAATGTGGATATAGTTATACATCTAATTTCTTTGTGTAACTATTTCCATTGGATATGTAAATACAGTAACTGTAGCCACAAATTACCATAGTTGTCCATTTTATGTGCAATTATCTGATTTTCATACTTAATTGTGGTAACTGTACACAAAATTAGACTGCAATTGCCTGTTCATCTATGCAGTTCTGTCCATGAAATATTAAAAATCTAAAAATTAATTCTAATAAAATATGCTTTTGATTTGTGGGTATACCACTGTACTTAAAAAAAAATGCTTTGCCCAGTCCCATATAAAGAATATGTCAGAATTCAATGGAGCACAAAAACCATATCACAGGTAGTTGATAGATCATTGTGGCCATGTAGGATTGTGATGGTACATATTTTAACCTGAATCGGTCTATGTAACAGAGAAAGACGACGTGGTGGTCTCAAAATGCACAATGATTCAAATACTTATTAGTCATCAAGCCATGTCTGCCAATGGAAACTTCGCACTTTCTTCCCGGCTCTTCTCCAGCTTCTCTCTTGCAGTTTAGCAGTCTCTGCGATCTTGTGTGGTGTTGCAGACACCTGAAGAGTTTGTCAGCAACATTAAATTATCTGAATGTATTAACCTGTCTCTTCTGTCTCCCAGGTTCATCTAAGTTGTTTTAAATTACAAGATGAGGTGAAAATGACAGCAATGTTACTACTAACACAAATCTGAGATTTAAGTTCTTGATTATAGAATTAGAAATGCTGTTACCAGAGAGAAAAAAGTTTTCCCCCTTTCCACGTTTCTAGGTATTACTGTGCAATGTGGATTTTCTTACCCTAGCTAGCTTTTGAGTAGGAGGCCAAAACCTCATTTCTCTCATTCTCTCACCCTTTCTTTCTTTCAAAGGATAAATCTTTTTTATTATTTTCAGTTCTCTGTCCAGAGGACTTTTTGTTTGTTTGTTTCCTTGATAAATACAGCCTATGGATTCAGAGTTATCTCTTCTCCTTTCTTTAGAATTATATTTCTACCTTTCTCTAGTATCTTCTCTCAATTTACATTAATTCTTTATTTCTTTACATGACACATTAGCTTATTGGTTTTCTACTTTTACAACATGTTCAAAACTGTCACAATATATTGTAAATCATATCTCAGAAGATTCATTCAATGTACATACTTTCAAAATTTATAGTGTCTAGCCTATTTCAGGCTTCATAGAGACTCCACAAGATATATTAATAATATAGATGGCATATAGAATTCAGAGAGCTCTATAAATTATTTCTTTCCTCTCTGCCTGAAGTTATTTGTCTGTTTGGGATTGCAAGTATACAGGCAGAACTGGAAGAAAACAATTCAAGAAGATACTGCTTATTCTCAGTATTTATTTATTATTAACATTATTAAATAGTGTTTGGGGAAAGACTTGGGGGACATTGCTTTATAAAGCAAAAACTTACTCAATTCACAACATACAAATACTCATATGCCTTAAAACACACACATGTCCATCTCCCTGGAGCCTTGAGAAGACTAGTTGTTTACACGATACGCTGTCTATCTAGTATCTACAGTTGCTATTTTGCTATCTTTCAATCTTTGATTGTTGTCTTGATAATAACTTTTATAGTGATATATGAAACTAGCTTTGTGCCTGATACATTTTCATTACACAGTTGTTCTCTGTAATTTCACTGCTCTAATAACAAACTGCTATGATTTAAAACCAGTTATACTGAGAAGAGAGACTTAAGTGTCAGAGTATTGATTGATTTCAGGAACAGTTGAATCAAGAAGTATTGCAGATTTCAGCATATCATGAGCAACATATTTTTTGGGGTCATGTTGTTAAAAATGGGTTTGGAACAATGTGGACATGCAGCAACCTGATCTGCTTGAGAGCCACAAAGCTGAAGTATTCACATCAGGATATGGTTTAGTGGGCTTGGTGGTGTTGGGTTGATGGTTGGACTTGATGATCTTAAAGGTCTTTTCCAATCTTAATGATTCTGTGATTCTGTGATTTTTAGTAAAATTTTAGTGGAGTCATTATGAAGCATTTAACATACATTACCATATATTATCTTGCAAACCCTGCCTGCGTAGTGACCTCACAGAGGCAATTTATACAAGTTGAACAGTTCTATTTCATGATTAAACAAGAATTTTTGAAGCTTTTGTTTTGTTTTGTTTTAACAGAACAATGAAAATGAAACAGCACTGCATTGTGCAGCTCAATATGGTCATTCAGAAGTAGTTGCTGTTCTGTTAGAAGAGCTAACAGACCCTACAATAAGGAACAACAAACTAGAAACACCTCTGGATCTGGCAGCACTTTATGGACGTCTGCGTGTTGTAAAAATGATCATCAAAGCATATCCAAACCTGATGAACTGTAATACAAGAAAACACACCCCTTTGCATCTTGCTGCACGTAATGGCCACAAAGCTGTTGTACAGGTGCTTCTGGAGGCTGGAATGGATGTCAGCTGCCAAGTTAGTGTGTAATTTCTTCCTTCCTGTCTTCCCTTCCTCCTTTCTTCCTTTCTTTCCTTTATCATTAGAATATGATTCAAATGAAATAACTTCTTATGTTTTTTCTTTTAAATTCACTTGCATTTACTTTGTTAGAAATGCTGCAAGGTGACATATAACAGATTTATTTTTACGACGCAAATGATGTGTTCAAAGGGATAACTCAAGAAAGATACATGTCTTCAAAGCTGAGTGTATATTTTAATGTTGTCTTGAGACTTGTAGATACACAAATCATATCAACTGTTCATGTAGGTGTATGCATATATATTTTTTACAACATTGGCTTTGACGATACTAAGGTGACTTGCTAAAGCTATGGCCCTTAATAGTCATAGCAATCTGAAACAATGTTTGACTGGGAACTCATTTTCACAGGGTTATCCCATTCTAAACCCAAAGTTGCTATGTAATAATAATTTTGATTTTCTCCTTTTCTAAGAACTTGTTCTATAAATCTAAAAGAAAATTTTATAGCAAGACACCCTTGCAGCTACTGACTCCAACCTGTTAGCAGTTTGGTGCATCTGGTTCTATGCACAGTAAGTTAGAATGGTGTAAAAGGGGTAACTTCAAATAAAAGAGACATAGATGGGAACAGATACAAGGTACAGCAGCAGTAAATTTTAGGTCCAGTTCTTTGTAGTGGAAAGTGTCCAGCCTTTTAACCAGAGAGGACCTGATTCCGTCGCGTGTGAAGCCTTGCCTCAGTCTTATGATTTCTCTTGATTTGACTGGTGGCACTGTATTTGAGTTTAAAGTGCATTTTATCTTCAGATTTAAGGTAGCCTTCTTGCTGTCTGGGTATATATAATATGCTTTGAATTAAAATTGTTGCAGCTTTATATCTATTTTCAGATAAACCAAAGAAACAAACGTTATTGCATCTTTTAGAGTCACATTCAGGCATTCTTTACCAATAGGTGATTTAAAAAATCTTGTGAACTTTGCCTAAATTTTGACTAAGTTTTATAACCATTTTAAGCTTTACGTGCATTTAGTCAAACACTTTTGTACACATAATTCCCGTTTATACAGAAAGACCTGGATTCCATGCACTTTCGTTATTTCTAGATTCTTCCATCAAGGTCATGGTTTTCAAGTTTTGAGGGAAAGAATGTGAAGTGGGAAAGAAAAGCTAGATTTAAAAAAAAAACACCAAGCAAACCAGAAGATATTAACATATTTTAAGATTGAAAATGGTTATTCTCAAATGCCCTCAAAATGAAAATGTGGTAAAATTGTTTTGCTACCTTTATTAGCTCTAGTATCTTTTGAGTTAGTATTGTTACTTGCTTCAGACTAGTTCAAACTGAAATACTTTTCTTTCCTGTGGTTCACCTACTTGTGTATTTGCCTACCATTATGCTTCCAATTATTTTGCTTTTGATTTTCTTTACTAGAATGTGATACACTTGCAAAGGTTAATACAAGCAGCAGCTTTTGTTTCAGCTGTCCTTTACTATTACTACATCTTCAGTAATTTAGAAAAGTTTAATGCTAAACCAACACATAACAGAACCCTCGCATACATATTTCTGAATGTGTAATTTCTTTTCTATCTCTAGCAAATGAATAAGGAAAAAGTCAGAAAGAAACTGATGCCTGAATTGCTGCTTAAGAAATAGAATAATTGAAGAAAAATAGTCTCTGCCATGGCACCTTACAAACTGATCATTACATGAGGGTTGAATATTACACAATGCTTTTATGAAATATGTTCTTGCTCTTATGTAATCTATATAATTTTAGCACTACTGTAAATCCTCCTAAGCCATTCCTATCTATAGTTTTTTGCTGGTCTTCAAAAAACATAGTGGCTGCAAATTTTCTACAATCTTCTTTTAAGAAATGAGAGATTCTTTTAGTAATGGTGATCTGTTTGCCACCTACACTAAAATTCTAGGAGTTTTTTTCTTTTTTTTAATTCTAATTTGTTTTAAGTAATTTATATTCTTGTTTTTCTTAGTTATTCTTAGGCAGGGGGGATTTTTTAATTTAATTTTTTTTTTTTTGCACTGGGTAATCTTGTTTCTTCCATGTTTGTCCTACTTGCCATAAGGAAATATCATTTATTTATTTTCTCACCAGTACACATATTCTCCATCAATATGTTCCTTTTCATTCAGCATCTTAGCATATTGGCAAGTTGGCTCTGTACATATTGTTAACCTATTACTTCTACAACCTCTGAAAAATCCTTTGTTGATGATTACTGGCAGCTTATTAAACTGATCGGAGCATACAATACCAGCCTGTTACTTAAGACTGAACTCAGCTCTTCTAATATTAATTAAATTACTCTGCATCACAGATTGTGAAAGAACAATATACAAAGTATAATCCCATATGGTAAATAAAATTGTACACATTCATACACGTTAAATAAATTCAGCTTATCAGCAGTAAAGAGCTCTCAGAATGATGAGAGACAATTATAGAAGTAGCCTATCTGCTATCACTCTGTAATTGCAAATATTTTTTTTGTTTAAATGGGAAGTTTACTTTAGCCATGTTATGTTTCTCTTCTGTACTCCCTGAGAACTTTTAATTGTAGCAAATATTTCAACTAACAAGAGACAGCATTTAATTTTTGATTGAATTAATCACACATTTTATTCATTTCCCAGGTCTATCCAATATCCTTCAATCTGAAATTATTTAGAAGTGGGCAATACAAATCTGCTTCATCTCTTTATGCTTTGAAGTTTTCATTTAAATTGAAACATATGAAAAATACACAGGTTTTGGGTGAGTGATAGATTTTGGGCCCTCAGTAAAATAAGATACCTCGCAGTTCAGTGTGTTTCATGTAAACAGTAATTTTATAGTTGCAAATACCTTAAAAACCTGGCCCCCTCTGCCTATCCAACTTTCATCTATCCCTATTTGCCTTCCCTGTCTGTTCCAGTAATGATGGCAATTTCCATTGCTTATCACTGTAGTTCTTCTGCAAAGAGCTATGCCCCTTCCCTTTTGCTGTCACTATGTGTGGAGGATATTCCGTGAATCAATTTGCAAAGCTACCATTCTGTCCTTCAGATTATGGCTGAAATCCATATCAAAACTATAGTAAACTGCCTATGAATGAGGACTAGATAAGTGACCTAATTACAAGCTCTTGTGTATTTACATGGTTAAAAAAATCTCTAATTAGTGAAACCCTTGATGCTTTTATGTGAGCCTGCAAATTGTACACCAAGTTGATTTGTGTATCCTGGTTTTCCTACTGACAATGTCCTTCTATCCTTGCTTGCTTTGTGTGTCCAGCTATTACATTGTACTGTACTTAGCTGTAGGCTGCTTGGGGCAGGGACTGCTTTATTATATACTTATCATGATTTGTGCTATAGTTCTCTATATTTGATATACAGAAAACGTGTCAGGGAATCAATATATAATCCATTGATGCAAACTCGAGCAGTCTTTAGGTCACTGTGTTCACGAAAAAATACCAGCATTTTTTTCATAAAAAATCACTGTGGAAGAATTTCCAAATATAATGGTAGTGTTCACTTTGCCAGGAAAATATGATCCAAGGCAATGAAAACTTCAGGAAGTAAAGCAGTGACTATTGTCTACAAATCAAAGGCTGCTTGCTGTAGTATAGACAAGAATATATTACTGCACAGATACACCATTATAAGTGAAAAAGATCTACCTAAAAACTCTAGCACATCTTAAATAATATATAGAATTTGAAACAACATTTTTTTTAACCTTTGCAATTTCTGTAACATGCTCTATTGCACCAGAAAAAAAATCCCGAACATTATTTCTATCTTCAAGTAGTAGTCCACATGCACATTTACAATGAGATATATAATCTACTCAGCCAGTGCTTCGGGTTTCTCTTGGCCCTGTTCATCCTGAGGCTCAGCATTTTCCCTATGTTAAAAAAGAGACTGGTAACTGAACTCTCTGGTAACAAGGACATTTCTGCCTTCTGGGCAGTTTTTGGGTCAAGAGATCTGATTCACTTGTTAGTTTTTCACTATTACCATGAAATCCTGCCTAGAGCTTTTAAGATTTACGTCAGCATTCGTCTTTGTGGCATCTCATGCACGATAACACATCTGCATCTTACAAGTGTGCTTTCAATCTCCATATTCCCAGACTGATTTTCTTTCAGTTTTGTGGCAATGTTTCCCCTCTCGCTCAGAAAAATCACCTATATTTTGGATAGATCAGTGTCCACAATTTGGTATCCTTTTCAAATTCCTCATTTAAACAGACTGTTTGTAATATATACCTCATTTCTGGGATATGGTATCCGTTAGCATTGTCTGGTACCTTGGAGTTTTAAAGCAAAGACTGCCTCAGAATTCAGGGCAATGCAGAATGCCTGTAAAGCACTTCAGGGTCATGTTCAGGTATGACAGGAAATATCACGGTAGAACAGACCAAGAAGTGAGAAAGTATAAAATTGAAAACCTGGCATTTGGCTTTGGATTCCTCTCCCAACATTACGAATTATGTATGTAGGTGGCTTAAGTTTCTTTACTCCTTTTATGCATAGCAGAGCTTTGGTTCATTGTTACAGAACTATCTTCTGCCTCTCAAGTTGCCCCCAGATAGATTTGTTTGCCTTAGACATCTACAGGAAATTTCCTCTTCTCGTGTTAGTGTTCATTCCATTTCTTATGAGATTCATGCTTTCATCAAGGAGAATATTACTTGCCTTTCCTCCCGCAGGGAATCTTGATCAATAGAAAGGACTGCAGCCAGTTCTGACAATTATCATACCAGGGTCTTTTCCACCCCTTAACTGAGGAGTCTGGGGGTAGATCCTCTTCCTTGTCTTCAAAGCTGTTGATTCACCATGCCGAACATTAATCTTTCTCAGTCTCAGATCACACCGCAGCAACGGATTCTAGATAGCTCTTGTCACTAAAGTATGTCCATTTTTTCCATTAAAAAAGGTTCGTTATTAATATTAATACAGAATGATCTCTACACTTTTAGTCAAGGTGCAGCTGGTTCCCATCTCTGCAATTCATTCTCAGTAGAACTAAAATTTAGTGCTCAGGCCTCCTATAACATTTGAACGTCTGTGGATTTCGTTGTTGGTGTATACATCACTAATTATTATCCCTGGCAGAATCACAGCATGGTTGAAGTTGGAAGGGAACTCTGCAGGTCATCTGGTCCAACCCTCCTGGTCAAGCAGCGTCACCTGGAACAGGTTGTCCAGGTTGCCCAGGACTGTGTCCAGACAGCTTTTGAATACCTCCAAGGACTGAGACTCTACAACCTTCTTGGGCAACCTATACCAGGGCTCAGTCACCTGCACAGCAAAAAATGTTTCCTTGTGTTCAAAGAGAACCTCCCGTGTTTCAGGTTTTCCCCATTACTTCTTCTGTCACTAGGCACCACTGAGCCTGGCTCAGTCTTCTTTACACCCTTCCTTCAGATATTTGTACACGTTGATGAGATCTCCCGTGAACCTTCTCCTTTTTAGACTAAGCAGTCCCAACTCTCTCAGCCTTTCCTCATAGGAGAGATGCTCTCCATAGAGAGATCTCCAGTAGCTCCGCATCTGTCTTGTGGGAATATCTCTCCATATCTATCTATGGGGAGCCCAGAACTGAACAGAGTACTCCAGGCGTGGCCTCACCAGTGGTGAATAGAAGGGAAGGTCACCTCCCTCAGCCTGTGGGTAACACTCCTACTGCAGCCCAGGATACCTTTAGCTTTTTTGCTGCAAGGACACATTGCTGGCACATGTTGAAATACAATGGAATATGTTCAACTGTAGTGAATATGTTCAAATGTGAGAGAGACTTTCCTCTTTTCTCAAAACAGTGAGTGATCAATTGTGATAGAGCCCCCGTTTTGGCGCTCTTCTCTGGCAGGTTACCATGTCAAACTTCTCCCCATTGTGGCCTTTGAATTTCACCACATGTCTTTACAAAGTCAAATATTTTGAAAGTCAAAGCTGTACTTCACATCCTTGATGACAGGGAACTGTATGTTAATAGTACCAGGTCCTCCCAATAGTCTTGAGGTTTATTCATGTCAGTAAGTGACCAATCCAAAGGAAATGTCACATCCACACAAATACCAAATAGGATAACAGGCTGTATCAAAGCCTTTCAAGATTGCTGATGTCAAGCCTTTTTCAGTAATCAGACCTGTAGCTATCAGTGACTTTTCTGAGAACTGTTTTCATTCCCAGAAATTTCTGAGCTGCACCTTGAGCTCTGTGTGTACCTTTGCGGTTGCACTATGTCAATGCAGAGTTATCCAGTGTTAAAGGCAATTGCAGTTACTGGAAAACTCCTGTAGATATTGTCTGAATAAAGGATTCTGAAACCATCTCTAAGTAAATCTGAATATTTAGTTTTCTTGTTCAGGATAAGTCTGTGAACGTTCATCTGGATTGCTTCTGAAACTGGAAGGATTAGAGGTTGTTTTGACATATGTATTTCACATGTATATTCTCTTACTGACTTCCTTCTCCTCTCCATTATACTGTTAGTATACCTGATGTGCTGGATGTAAATGACTTTGGGCATGCACTACTTTATACGTCTATGTACTAAGTATGAAGAAAGATAAAAAGTGAGTGTTCCTATCATGGACATAACAAAGAGTTTTCAGGCTCAATTGGTAGGACATATGTACACTTACTGTGTGCTCACATCCCATCTCAGGATCTCCCATTACTTCTAAATAACCTGTCATTGCATTGCTGTAGCACTGGTGCATTCTGATACAACTAATAAATAATGAATCACTATTTTATTTCAGAGTTAATTTTTTTGTATGTGTCTTTAAAGTCTTTCCACCACAGCAAGCATGACAATGGTGCATTTGGATAAAATATAGAAAAAACAAATTCAAGTGGTAAAACCTTTAACATTTGCTGACAAATAAAAAACACTCAAAATCTAATTTACTATCAAAAATAAGGAGTTGAGCCAGAGATTCAGAGAGATCTAGTAATGCTTTAGCTAGTGTTAATGTATTGTATGGAAAGGCATTCTGTTCAGATTTTTTACTAAGCCAACAGTATAAAATACTAATAAAAGTAGCTTTTTAAGGGAGGTAGTTTGTTTTTCAGTACTGTAAATTTTATTTGAGCTAAAGTCTGTTCACAAAGAATTTTGTGTCTCAGAAATCTGCAAAATCAGGTTCACAGACATCTGAGGTAGAATTTAAATGATCTAAACATAGGCATTTAATGCTGTTGGAGGTGCCTTAGGGTATCCAAGACATCTGTATGGGACAGATATGATGCAAATCAAATGTGAGCATCAACTGGAACATCAGCTGGTGGCCAGGTGTGATATCCTAGGGCATCTCTCACTGCGCAACTGAATTGACCTTCTAGGGTGTGATCCAGTTTCAGATTAAAACACCTAAGTGTATATGTCCACATGTAAACTGGCTGAATCTGCTTAGCTATTTTTCACTGACAGTATTGACCAGATTTTCACTGCCTATAATAGGAGTTCAGAAATTTTATACAAATGCAGACTTGTTAATTGGGAGTTGTATTGCATCCCTTTTATATTTTCTTATATAGTTATTATTTTTTTAGTAGAACTGACAGTATTTATGTTGCTATCTTGAATAATAATAATAAAAAATGGAGTATTTGTTCTTGCCCATTCAGTATTTTTATGTGTAGATAAAATAAAAGGGGAAAAAGAAATAATTCTTTTTTAAATGCATTCTTTTCTATAGGATTCATTGGTATTTCAATTTGCATTTTAAATGTCACGATATTTTTTTTTCTAGACAGAGAAAGGGAGCGCACTACATGAAGCAGCCCTATTTGGAAAGGTGGAGGTAGTACGCATTTTGCTTGAAACAGGTAAATCTTATTTACAGGAAACACTGGACCAATATCCTTAATATTCCTAATCTGGTGTATGCCTTCTCAAGTTTTGGTTATACAAATCACAGTTATCTTTCTCAGTCTTTGCAAATCTAATCACATGTACCTCTCCTTAAAACAATGTTCTTTTAGAATAAGAAATTACTATACACAGAGAACAGAAGAAATGTTTTCACTAAGACTCAGAAATTCCACGTATGACTCAGTGTATACCACTGTATTCTGAGAATAAATATATTCTGAGAACAAAATGACTACATAAAATTTTGTTATTCACTCTGAAAGATAGCCAAGAATATTCTTTGATCTAGAGGCCGGAAGACTCATGTTCACATCTATTTCCTTCATTTAGCGCTTCCTAACAAACACACCATCCTGCTTTCTTCTTCATTTCATGGATAAGGTCTGAGTGCCTGTGAAGAACGAGGAAGGCACTGTGTCTGCAAGAATTGCATTTGTCCTAAAAGGACAGGGCTATAGAGTCCCAACAGACCCATTACTACATAGTAAGAGTTTCAGAATTGTTGCAGGTAAAATGCTCATCTAAACAACTGTCTTAGGTAAATGAGAAGACCAATGAAAATGAAAATATCTAGAAATTACTTCTCTGAGAAAAGTGAACTTCCATTACACTGAAGGATCTCTTTGATCTTTATTATCAGTTTTTGTGGGGTTTGCTATTGCAAAAGAAGGTATGTCCTACTCACAGATCCTCATCTGAATCTCAGCTAGTGCATACCTGATCTGAGATCTGTTTTTAGAAAAAAATTCCTTCCAAGATGCTTTCCTGTTGGATGAATAAGAAAGAGGCAGAAAGGGATCTTACCTGCCCTCAAAAGGGCAGGGCCTTTTTATATTAAGTCATCTAAAAGAGGAAGGTCTGGAGAACGTCACACAAACATAGGAAGCCCTTAGACCACAGATAAAGAATACCTCTTACAGATTAGTACTCATTAAAGCCTCTGCCAGAGTACAATTGTACAAGACAGTGGAGTAGAATCTTCACTATGAACTCCTTCAACCCCAAATGATCTGCACTTCAGCAACACTCCCCACCTTCTGCCTTTTTAATCTAACAATCCCCTTGTCTCTAGTTCTGCTTCAAAAAAAGACTCAGAAGATGTTGTAAGTAGCTACTGCAAAGGAAGGGTGTAAGTTGGTGTCTCTGGCCTCTGAAAATCAGCTCCCACTGCTTATTAGCCCAGCAATATTTTGGCTTTGTTTTCAGTGTGAAAACAAGTATCTCTTTTTCACAAAACAAATTACAAAGTTCTCCATCCAGTCACGAAAGTACAAGAACTGCAACCTTTTCTGGTGAGTAGAGAAATCCTTCCATGCTTCCAGAATGTCCTTATAAACACTGCTTCCTCTGATTTCCTCTATTCAGCATCCCAGGAAGAATCTCAATCTGTTTGTTAGGATTTTTCATACCTTTACTTTTTATGAAAGTACATCTAAACTAAAAAATAACTTCAGTCTTCTTCCATAAGGCAAACATTTCCGAAGTAGTCCCTACAAGACAAAGGTGGAGAGTCATGCAGTATCAGTTCCCTGAGACCTATCCAGGATAAGCCTTAAGGTTATTTATGGTTACGTTCGCAGTTCAAACCAAAAAATTACTTTGTCAACAGTCTGAACAGCCTGTGAGGAAATGCTCTGGCTGTTCACAGAGCCCTTATACTACATACAGGCATTTCAGTCTACTGCGAGCATGAATTTCAAACATGTTGCCATGAGGTTCAAAACTTTTAAGGTTGGTAACTTTTTCAGTGTTGCTCCCAAAACACATACTGGTACTACGGACTAGAAAATCTCCAATGAATTGGAGCAGTTTGGGGAGAATTAGAACCCGGGAATGTAAGAAAAACATTCAGAGAAGTTCTTGATTTTATAAAATATTATTTTCAAGATGGATGTTTCTTAGGAACAGTCTGTTAAAATAATCCCAAGTTTGGTTTAAGAAGCTTACTTTATATCCCCATGAGTTACAGAAACATAAAAACAATCCATGTCAGCATGTGAATTTTAGGCTACTCAAGCTTAAACAGAAATGGATGCTGTACTTCAACTGTAACACAGCTGTTAATCTGCTACAGTTGTGAAACCGCTTGCGTTAAATTTTTCCAGATAATTGAGCCTGATATACTACATTTATAAACCAAAATACTTGGGGTTAAAAATTCCACCACAGATCATTTTCTTTTTTAGGAATTGATACCAACATAAAGGACAGTTTGGGTAGAACGGTTTTAGATATTCTTAAAGAACACCCATCTCAGCAGTCACTCCAAATTGCAGCTCTACTTCAAGGTAAGTCATATTCAGTTATACATTTGTTAGAGACCAATCAGAATAGTACGGAGGAATGTTAAGATATGTAGTAATATTTAGTCTTTCAATATTTCATTACACAAAAGAGTGATCTCTGAATGAAAAATACAAAATTCTTGTTTGCTAGATACACAATAATAAGTCATGGAATATCTGAATTTCAGAGCAAACCCTTTGTTTTTTTCAGACAATAGACATTAGTATGGTCTGTCACTTCTAGTTACTCTTTGTACATTCTTCATTACAAAATGACATATTGTAATATTTCACTGCAGTTCCATTAAACTGTGATGGTAAACTACAATTGAAATGCTTGATTCATTCATAAATAACAACGATGACTGAAAGATGATTACAAATTTTCAAAATATTTCATTACATTTTTTTCATTTTCCTTAAATTTAAAAAAATATTTAAACCAGGCAGTAACTCCTGTCATTATAGCAGAAATAATATGATTTTTTTGTGCATACATTTGTTCTCATTCCTCATCCTACTTTCATGGTGTAAGACTGATGGAACTCCATTGTTTACTCCATTTTTTTACTCTAGAAGATGGCAGTAAAGTGAAGAAACATGAACTAGTATGTAACTCAGTCTTAAACATCATTCCTTCTCTTCTGTGGAATGTGTTCCCTGCATTTTCAGATTAATCTTTCATTAAGTGTGTTTGACAGAGAAGTTCCCTGCAGGTATCATTGCTGCATCTCCACCTGTATTGATTATTCCCATCTTTAAATAAGCCATTTTAACCAGTTCAGTGTTGGTTCTTCATGTGAACTAACTCATGCTTTCAGTCTCCTGCATAACTGTATTTCGTAAGAATATTTCCTTGAGAAAATGAGGTCATGTAGCCACACCATCTCCTTAAGGTTTTCTTTTCTGAATAACTTCCAAACTTGTTAGCCAGCTTCAGTAAAGTTTTCCAGTGAGATAATGGACCAAAGATACAAAGCTCCTGTAAGTATAATGAAAATTTTGCAGGCTGGAGAAGAGGTATTCTCTTAAGGAGCAGATTCATGTTACAGCTGAACTGAATTAACAGCTTGCTGGTCTCCCTCTCTCCCTCCTTCCTATTTTCTTTTTCCCTTTCCCCCATACCCTCCCTTCCTTCTCCCCTAATTCCAGCTACACAGTTCCCTTCCATATTCCATGCTTACAGGAGATTGCAAAGTGATCTGCTTCAGTCCATGAACCAGTAAAATATAAAATATATGATTTATTATATTACCTATATTTAATAATCTGTAACAATAATAAAAATAAGAGTATAATTATATAAATATACATTTCTTTCTTTTTGTGAACTTGCCACCTGTATGATTGAGGTCCCAGATAACTGGCAGAAATGTGCATCAAAAAGTGGGGAGGAAGATATGGGTGAGGGAAGAAGGACTGTCCCCTGACAGCAGAAGGGAGTTCCTAATTTGACTCAGACCATATGGTGAAACTTCAGCCTTTATGTCCTCACTGAGCTGCAGCGTGAACATACCACTATGTAGAGGAAAAGAGGGTTACTGTCATATTGAAACTTCTTCAGTGGCAGGAAAAGGGTCAGTCAGCTTCCACTTTCTTTGACATCCAAATCAATCATCCTTCAGATATTAATCTAAGATTCACTATAATGTCCCATCACCACGTAAACTAATTTTCATTTTAGTATCTCTGCATTGTTCCATTTTCTCCTTAGTGTGATAACCTTGCAGTCTCAACCCCACTGATAAGCAAAGTTTCTCCTAAGTACCCTTGCTCTATGAAAAACAGAGCACCCAAACCCCTCTCAAGGGTTTGTCATGTTGATGCATCAGTATCTGCCCTTAGTTTTTACCACAAAAAAGAAATACGACAATTTCAAAGCTTTTTGGTGCTTTGACATGCAATCTTTTTCACATGTGTGCCTTGAAAATATAAAGACTGCTTGGTAGTTTCAGCTCATATTAGTACGACGAAACTGTGCTTGTAACTAGCAGCCGTTTATTTTTGCTTCATCTGCCTTATAGTCAGAAGTGACGAAAAATGTTTACAAAGATGTCATTCTGAATCTTAAGAAAACCTGAGGAGCCCCTTCAGAACTCCTTGTGGAATCCACTGAGATTCTTTTTCATCAGCAAGGGGTTCACTGAAGCTCTAACCATCAATGATAAAATTTGAACGATGATCCGAAGTTGAAAAATAACACCAGGAGTGGCAGGATTCAGTGCCAGCACTGCTGATGACACAGTAGACCTATCCTCCTCTAAAAAGCCAGTTGAGTGTACTCTTCACTGGAGTGTGGGCTTTTATCCTGTTGTAGCTGAAAAGTCAGTGAAGCACTGGGATTTTGGGAAACCTGAATGCACTGTAATTGAGTTTGACTTCAGTGGGTATAGGGGCTTCCAAATGCATTCCTGTTAAAGCTCCCGCCTTCAGATGATTGTCTAGAGAAACTAACGTGTCTCCTACACGTAGCCTTATCGGAAAAAAGAAATTAAATTAATGGTGTCAGACGATGACTGACCAGATTTTGTAAGTTCCTAACTTTTCTTTATGCAGACACAATGGCATTGAACTGATTCTTTCACCTTGTTGCCAGGATAAAGTAAGATTTTATCAGCTAGCATTCTCACTAATTTTTACTATTTCCCCCTTGCATTGTTATGAGTGTTACTGTACAGTTTACAGTATTAACATAGCATAATATTTATCCCTGCCACAAGGCATTATCTTTCAAAATTTAAAACAAAGGCTGAAAGGTGCATATAAACAGACTGACAAAAATGGACAAGGAAATAACGTGACTGGTATTACTGCTAGGCCTGGTAGGTAGAGTTCTGTCCTATATGCAGAGGGGTAAGAGAATTGTAAGAAAAGTTTTGAAAGAAAATTAGTCAGTTTCGAGGATATTTATGAGATACTTCTTTGAAAGAGAAGAAAGTAATTTATGTCTTTAGAAGCAGTTCATGGAGACAGTAATACTAAATCCGTTCAGCTGATACTAAAACGTACAGGACTGGTAGCCTCCTGTGAATGAGGCCCCCAAGCATTTAAGAATCATGGATAGAAGTTTCTATCGGTGTTCTCTCTCTTTTTTTTAAGAATATTTACAAAACTACTTTTTACAGATTATAGAAAGAAACAAAACTTTTTGCCAGTGAGGTTTAAGAAGTGATCCTAGTGTTTTTGTGATCTTTACATCTTTTCTGACTATCCTGAGAAAATAGTAATTTAAGTTTCTGCAATTTTTTTTTTTTTTGTGTTTGCAAAGTCTGCTGTCTTTTTGGAGGTTTTGGCACATTATCTGATAGAAGGAAAATAAATAACAAAATCATTTTTAAGGAGCAACTTGAAAAAGGCTGAGTAAACTATACACCACCTGAATGCTTTTTTACTGCCTGTTACTTATAGATGGAATTATTAGAAATGACAGCTCAAGTTTTAATTCTTTGTCTTTCATATATGTCTCATAATTTTCTGTGTCTTGGTCAAGTTTGAGTTGCATTGAACTCAATTAAAAATACTTATTCCAGTTTAGGTTCCTTATCTGGTAATGAAGAAATAGCTGTTTAGGCATTATGTACTCAAAGAGCGGAGAATTGGAATACTGTGCCAAGTAAGGCCAGTCTACTGGATGCATTTCATGGATGTAGTGAAACAACAGTATTCCGTGCCGAAGCAGTTAACAGTATTGGCACTTAGGGCTTTATAATTAGGCATTGAAGATAAAAGGGATGTTGCCAAGGCTAGTAGGCCTAAAATTAAACCGACCAGCTGTGTTTTAGTTTTAGCACATGCGAATGTGATGCAGGTGCATACTATAACCATCTTTCAGCTCTTTCTCTACATCCCACTATGCTCTCTATTAGAATCTTGCTCTTTTACTATTTCTGGAAGCAGAATTCTTGTTATTATGAAAAAAAGGAGATAGTAGATAAACAGATGAAAAATGACACGAGACCCAGGAAGGCACAATAAACTCTGCTGCATAGACAGTGTGGCGGGAGATGTAATGGAAAGCTGTTTCCTCTCTCTTCTGCTGAAGCTGCTTAAGAACCTAGCATTGTCTGTCCATGTTACCAAATCATTCATAAATGGAAAATGCATAAGCAGCTTCAGAACCAGGACTCCTTTCTTCTCCCCTCTGCTTAAATAGCTTTGGTGTCATTAGCACAGGCTTTCTTTTGTGTATTCTCACTCTCTTTCTCTTCCTCTTTCTGTGGACAAGTAGATCTTCCATCCCCTTGAGTGCAGGAGGACCAGCCTCACTGGAAGGATGGAATAGGTTTCCAGTCAAAGATTTAATTACAGCTGTGTGGGATGAAAAGAACTGGGATCTCAATCCCCATTTGTTGTTTTTTTGGGGGGGACTTCTCAGCCTTTTATAGGCTATTATGCAAAAGCTGTGGAGTATTAACTATGTTTATGAATTAATTTAACTGCTGTTGTTTTGGGGTCTGAAAGTTTAGCTGCACCCTTACCTATCAGGATCATAGCAATACTTGAGTGTTTGTTTCTGCTTATCTTCCCTGAACACACGCACATCCTTATGTGCCTATGACTTAAAACATCTACTGATTTCAGGTTTTTCTGGGATTAAGTTAAACTTCAGTCATTCAGAATTGCGCTCTGAAATTTAAGAGACTGAAGTCAGCCAGCCTCCATCTCAGCTCAAGTCTGCCACCTCAGCACACCTGAAGGTAAAAGTTACCAGTCAGTTTTCTGCAACTGGCTGTAAAGAGAAGAAGAATTGGGTCATGAAGCCTCAGGTGGGTTCCTTCCCAGGGCAGCGAGTTGTTTTGGGAGGAGCTTTTAGAGAGCTCATGGGCTGGGACAAGATTTGATGGAGGTGGAGGATCCTCAGACAGATGCTGCGAGAGCCCTGGGGAGGGCAGAGGGTGCTCTGGAGATTTCTGCCTTTCAGGAAGGCATGGAGTGAAGGAGGAGTAAGGGTTTCCCTGCTGGGCCATGGCGGGGAGTGGTTTCTAAACCAGTTTTATTCCTCCAATCTTGTTATTTGGAGAGTCTTCTGTTTGAGAAGGTGATTGTTCAGGTTTTTGTTGTCATTAAACTTGGCTTTTATGGAGTTTAAAAAGCTTTTTGGTCTCTTTAGGGGAAGTCACTCTAGGGAGGAACTCTATGTTAGTCCACCGCATGGCATGGCCAAAGTAGGCTGTCAAAACAAAAGGGAAAGGAGCTCATACTTCATTAAAAAAAAAAAAAAAATGAAATTGTGGATTTTTTGGGGGTTTTTTTCATTAAAAGGAAAAGTAAAAAGTTCTCTGACGCTAATGTAGCCATTACTCTAAAAGCTAAGGTTTATAAACAAAGCAAAAATCTTGACCCTCTCACCTCACTGAGGAATTAGGACCTAGAGAAGCTGAAGTTAAAGCAAGCTGTGCTCTAGGAGCCTGAGTTTTTACTGCTCCAGGAAGTTCATCAGCAGCTCCAGCAGAGCTGGGCCATGTCCTCTTCATGGTTGACCTTCCTGGCTCTGGCTGCTCTGCAGAGCCAACTGTGTTTCGCTGCTTACATGTTAACGCTTTCCCTTCTTCCTGGCTTTGGCCTAACTGGTGTTACAGAAACTAAGAAAGCTGGAGTTCCAGCTCTTTGAACTCTCCAGTGCTGCTTGCCTTCTTGGGTTCATATTCCCCACTGCTCTTATTTCCACTGCTGTGTGACCACTTTTACACTATTACCTTTTGTGCACGTGGCCCTACTTAGATTGAGTGGGGCTATGTTAAAATCAGGTAACTGTAGAAAAGGATGCTACTAAGCACGCAAAGGTTTTGAGATTCTTAGTATTAATCCTCACTGAACTGTAACTTGCTGTTTGAGTCAACAGAAGTAAAATACTCCATTCTTCTCAAAGCAGTAGGGTGGGGAAACATCTCTGAGGTGCGTATTAACATATGCCTCCTTCACCGCTTACGTGCTAGTCATGACGGCTGTCTTTGAAACATGGATCAGGATGACAGTAAGCTGGTGAAAGAAGCACTGTGAATCTGACAGGTCGTGTCCCAAACAGCCTTTACTCTCTGCTATTGTAAGGACGATAGGCTTTTCTCTTAAACTCTGTGAGACCACAGCTGGGGAAACTGTTCTGGTCATTAAGTGGTATAATTGACTGAGCTTGGCTTCGTTCTGAATTATCTTTCTTTTTTTGAGGAAAATGATAGAATCCAGAGCAGTCTTTCAAGTACACCGTAATCAGAGCAGGTGATGGTAACAGTATTCTCTTTTTCAAGAAGTTTGGGCAGGCTTTGAAGGTGAATTTCTAGCCAGTTGCAGGTGAATAGAATTCAACTGCTGGTGAAAGCATCCACTGCTTGTGTGCACTTTGTCTTTGGTTCTTGACATAGATCGCCTGTTTCTTTGAAAATATTATGGGTAAGTATACATTTACCTAGACTATAAGCCTCTCACAACGGAGTCCATGTCTTTATTTGTCTCATACATATCCTGCAGAATTTTCAACAGTATAAAACCAAGTTAGGAGTAGAAGTCCAAAGATTTAACAGTTGCACTTTTACAAGGATGGTGTACTTTTGGCCCATTCTAAACCTCTACACCATACTTTGCGCTGGTCCTTTTGTAGAGGTTTTCTGGAAGGAACTCTGCAGTTTTTAAAGTAAATATTTATGAGACTTACATTGAACTTGGGATTTCCTCCTTAGAACTAGCCTTCAGCAGGTAAGTGCATTGGTCTGAAAGTGGGGCCTGACAAAGAATAAAGTATTATTTTAAAACCACAGTCTTATATGAATATTGGACAGCAAGGTTAAAGTCCTTCACAATCTCCCCTGCATTTTCTTTCCTAATAATATCTGTATTGATCCAATAATTTTAACACTCCCACCTGGTAAAACCTCATATTAGGTTGGCTTTTGGACAGTTGTGCAATTATCAAGCAAATATTTTCAGGCTTGAATTCCTTCTTTCCTTTTATTTTTCTTTAAGTCTAGCTTCCTTTTTTTCTCTTCCATCTTGCACATTAACTTGACAAATAGTATAGCTGACAGAGCTGGAAAACATTCCAGAGCATTTTGTCATGCTGCTGGTTTTCTCATGGTCTCTTACAGCTCATCTTTGCTGCTTTGCTTTCAGCGGTACATAAAAACAGACTAGTGCCCATTTTTGTACGAAAAAGTGTGACAGATTATCTAGAGGACCATTGCCAGCCATCAAACTTAAGATATGACATTTTCAAATTATACATTTGTTTAAAATAAACCAAAAACCTGCAAAGAATTCTGAAACTGCATGCTATTCTCTGCCATTTCCAATTTAATTTTCTCAGATATCTATTTTATCACAGATTGTATTTGGGGTTTGGGATTTGTTATTTAATCAGGAATAACAGCAAGGTAAACAAGTGCGTTGTAGACTGTAGAAATTAAATCAGGGAGATTTCACTTCCCAGAAACTCTTTAGTCCTTCAGTGTGAGATTGATGAAAGCAGTTATTGTAGTTTGCTTTCGTGTGTCTTGCAACGTGTACTATTGTGGTTACTATCTGGTATCAAAAAGAACTTGTTGAAGCCACTTCAGGAAAATCAGGAAAATGCAGATACAGAATAACTACCTGAACTGAGAACAAGTCACTCTACTGGAAAAAAAAGCAACACTATTGCATAAATTAATTTCTTAAGTATTATTTAATATTTGTCCTACAATAACATTCATTAAGGTCTTGGTGTTCCGTTGAGCCAGCCTGTATACAAAAGCACGTGAAAATAATGTATACATTTACACAAAAATAATAGTAATGAAATTGCAGTTTAGCACATTCCTCATTCCACATTTTTCTGTTTTTATAAACATCATCATAAAGGTGGAACAAGGGAATTTTTAAGGAAGAAAAGCACAACATTTTTAGAACATTGCTTTTTAGACTGCTAGTTTTAACTAAGTTTTTGAGATTAAGTTCTTTTTTTCTCATGTACTAGCTCTGTGCTGCAAGCAGAATATTTGGTTTTCTTAACAGTATCAATATATCTACTTATTGTGCACATCTTGAATATATTGACTAAAACTCTTAGTAAGTTAAGAACAAAAGAAGACGCCTTCAGCAGTAATAATGGAGCAGTTACATAGATATTTCAAGGAGACAGGAAAAACACAGGGATATCACAAATCATTATTCCTACAATGAGATTTCTGTAAAAGTTTCAGCAGATTATAAAGAACTGGCCATTAAAGTGTTTTATAATACTTCAAATAAATGATTGCCTTGCAGCAGTGTTTATGAATAATTAACAAGGTTGTAATATGAAAAATTGGAAGAGCTTTAATGAAAAATGAAGTAACAAATATACTTTTGATTGGAATAAACCCCCTTAATTTAGGTATTTAAGTGTATGTGTGTCTTTAAATTGCAGAATATATGGAAACAGGAAATGCGAGTATTTCAGAGGAACGCCCACTGGAATGCGCAGAACATCAGTCTTGCATTTTGTCCCCAGAAGTTCCTCCGTCTCCAAAGGCTAAAAGTAAATACATGTACTCTGTGAATACAGAAGCTGTACTGAAATTCTCTTTAATATTCAAATTATATTGCTAACTCATTCATGCAAACATACAAAACGAAAAACAGATTAAGAAGGTTATTGATATTGAGAAGCTTTTTTCCACCATGAATTACCTATCTTGACTACATACACCGTAATCCATGTCATATAGGAAAAGAAAGAAACGTATTCTCAGAAAGGGCGAGTCACCAACAGATTCCAATGTATTAGATTATTTGATCATAAATCTTTTTAATTTATCTGACCATAGACATTTCATAATCAAGTAAAACAAAAGGATACTAGATATTTTGAAATGCTCTGCAGGCATTGCTTACAGTCAAGTTATAGATTAAATTTACTTTAGCTTTCCCAGTGAGTACTTCTTCCAATTGTGTTACATCTGGATGCCTCTTTCAAAGATCATGTGTGTACTGCTCTTCCATTCATCTTCTAACATATAATGTTGTGTGCACGTGCTTTCATCTTATCTTCTGATTCATCCTTTACACACCACAGCCACTTAAATAGGGCATTTCCTGAGTGTGGTGGTGTCCTGCTCTTCCACGAAAATCATCCTCCTGTAGAACCAAACCTGACTTTTGCCTTCTGTAATCATCCAAAGTAAATGTAACTGACTGCTGGCAAACAACTAAGCCTCTCTGTTTTTGTTGTGTGGAGGGTTTTTTTGGGGGGTGGGAGGTTGTGGGGTGGTGTTGTTGTTGTTTGGTTATTTGTTTTTTCAACACCTTTACGGGGGTTTCCATTCGTAAGAAGATAGTAAACAAATGCTCTAGTTCCCCTCGTATTTCCCACTGGGGTACTTAGCAGACATACGGTATATGAAGATAAATAGTTCCTTTGAGACTAGTAGAATCATGAAGTCAACTACCCTATTCAATAGAAATGTCTGTCCTGAAATTAAGTAGTAAATATCTTAAAAATATATTTTACTCCTTAACAATAAGGTCATGATCTCGCATTCCTTGTTTTCACTTTCAAGGTATAAATACTGTAACACATGCTAGCTGGCTTTTGCTTGTCTGTTCTAAAGGAAAGAAATTGTACTTGATTGTGCTTCCCATCCATCTGTCTGCCATTCTCTGACAATCTAATTTCAAATAATTTAAACCAAATTTGGAAGATGGATAACAGTATCAATTACCTTTCTCTGACTTTCATGAAAATAGAAATGTTAGATAGAGGAGACAGACCTTAATTAGTACCTGCACTGAAAGAAATGGGCAAAATTTGTCTTTTATTCATTCTGGCAGCGATCAGCCAGCCAGTTAGCGTACGCTTGCTCACAGGTCAGTTAGCACCCTTGCACTTCTGGTTTTGTCACACAGAATTCATTCTTGCCCAGTAAGAAGTATTGCAGGCCATATACGGGAGAACATGGGATTGGGGATATGAACACAATTCTCTAGGAAATCATAACCCTCTTTCTTTTCAGAGCACTGTACCATGATTTTAGCATAGTTCTTAATATTTAGGTATTTTACTTCTAATTTTTATTTATTATAATATTAATCTGGAATAATCTCAATTTGTTAGTTAAAAAGCAGAATATAAATCTGATTATACCTTCGTTTAATTTACAAGTTTTGTGCAATAATTGAATTCAAAACTCGTTACTCTTAGTCAATGGTAAATTTCTGTTACTTAGCTATTTAGGGGTGATTAGATGCTTTTAATTAACAACTTCTGTTCTTGGATCTGAAAATTTCAGTCATGACTTGCCATAGTTGTATTTTTAAAAATATTTTAGGATATTTATGTTGACCTAGCATAACAAACAGTGACTATGAAAAAAAATGTCACAAAAAGATCTCTAGACCAAAAAGATATAATCTCCTCCGGGGCTTCTTTATTTACGTGAATGTACATATGTGTGTTGTATGTATTCTGAGCTTAATATGCTCGCTCTGTTTTTTCCTTTTCAGCATTTTATTCCCAAAGATGGAGTAAAATGGAATTATCTCTGTATTTTATCAAGCCTAAGGACTGTAGTTTGCAACAGTACAAATCTTGTAAGCGTAGTCAAAAGAAGATGTTTCTTATTTGCCCCTGGAAAACCTTGGCTTTCACTCACATTTTCATTGCTATTACTGAAGGTAGCTGTGTAACACATGCAAGAGATTATCAGAACCTAATGCAGTTGTTCATAACAAGTAGCTTTTTACTCTATGGAGGTCTTGCTGCTGCCAGTGGGCTATTTGCAGTAAAGTTAGCACTCGACATGATTCTAATACTTATTACTACTAGTATTTATAATAGCGGCCCTCAGTCACTACAGGCATATGAAGCCCATTGTCTTACTATTTTGGTAGGTTTCTTAAACTAAAGATACCTGATAAATTGAGGAGAAAACACAAAACACAATGCAGAACGTACTAAACGCGGGTTTCTGAGAGGTTGCTGAAGGGAGGCATGTTTTAAACTTGGGAGTTTTGCCCAGTATATCCTTTCACCATTCCATTTAATCCTGGGAAAGTGAGCAAGAATCGTTTATAAAACACAGCTATTTTGATGGGACAGATGTGCATTCTTGGAAACTCAGTTCCAACCTACGTACAATTTATGGAACCTATAGAGCATATTAACTGATCGCAGCAGCAAACGCGAACCCCATGCAGAGTATGGGACACTGATTTTGTATGTTTGTAGAAACTTTCCGTTCTTGGATTAATTTTACATTCTTGGATAGTTGTTATTTCTAGGTAATTTTCAGGATTAGAAAACAGAGAAAGGGTAAGTATATATTGTAATTAATCCTAAGTAAATGCAAGGTATAGGGGAATGCAGAAGTATGTAGATTACCTCCAGTGATTCCCATTCTGGAATGAGATGCCATTATTTTTGAGGGGAGAATTGTGCATGAAGCTCACTGTTTAGGTCATAAGGCATGGAATATAACAGATACTCAATAAAATTTAAAGAATGTGCATTTCATTTTTAGGCATAAATTACCCCTGGTATTCTAATTATTGACTAATGGTGTGTCTGTTTTTAAAGGTGAAGCTGTGACTGGAGAATTATCAAAGCTCTTAGATGAAATCAAATTGTGCCGAGAAAAGGAATACTCTTTTGAAGATCTGTCTCATACAATATCAGACCATTATCTGGACAATTTTAGTAAAGTATCAGAGGAAGAACTTATGACCAGTGGAAGCCAAACCAAGCTTAATGTAGTAAGTAAGATGGGATACAAAGACAATATATTCAGTTATATATGCTTTATTTATGGCACATTCAAGAAAGAAATAGTACAAGAGCGAGAATAGTATAAGCTTAATGTTATAATAGAAAAAAATAATATAGCATGTGCCCCTTGGAGATTTAGAATTTAATGTTCCCCTTATTTACAAAAATACTGCTTACCACACCTCTGAATGGCTTTATGGCACCACTAATATGACCAAAAATTCAGGTTAGTTGTTCTTTTGAGCATGGGGAGTGCAAGGAAGGGTTTTGTGGTAAAACAATTGAAATCAGTATGCTCAATACTATACTGGAGACTAAATACTTGCAGAATCTGATCAGAAGTGCCCCCCAAAAGAAGCAGCTAAGCATCTTCAGTTATGATTCTTATACATTTTATTACTATATAGCTTTCCCAGTAGCCTAGTGGTATTAAAGACTGAGTCTCTAATACTGAAAATTGTTGTGGTTGTGATACTTCAGTGATTTCCAACTACAGTTGAAAATATGACTTCATTAGTACTAATCCTGTGAATAAAGTGCTCTAGGATTCATTTTTTCTTTACAGTGTAACGAGGCTTTTTTTTTTTAATTGAATTTTCTTCAATAAGTAAAGTAAATGGGATTGCCCAGGGAATAAAGCACAGAACAGAGAAAAAATGCTAAGTGCTAGATTTCAATTAATGTTGTTCTTAAGTTAGGAAAAATTATGCTCTCATATGTGGGGAAAAATATGGCAAGTTAAGGACTTTGTGTTCTAGAGGATTTATCACAATATATGTAGACAGAATGAGATTTACAAAGACGGTTATCTGCCCTGGAATGCAGTAGATACTTTTGTGAAGCCCTTCTAGATGTCTGAGTTATTAGATACATAACCCATATTGAAGTCAGTCTGAACAAGCTACTGATCCCATTTAAGCATTTTTATACATCTTTCCAGTGTCTTGCTGTATTTAGGTGCTAACAACTATTTAAATCTGCTCAGCTGTTGTTTTGGCAAAAATGTAATCCATATAATTCTGTCTATTCAAACTGAAATTTTTACAGACCTAGATGAAATACAATGTGAATAGGAAGTATTGAGACACTAGATCTATAACTTATGTGCAGGAGGCACATACAAATGTAAATTAGTCAATACATTTTCTGAGACTTCATCTATTTGTATGTTGAACTAAATGTGAAAACAAATCTTAAAAATGGGGACTGTTTAAAGAATATTGTGGCACTTTCCTACTAGTGCACCCAGCTTTTCTTTCAATGAAAACCAGAATCAGAATGATGGGTACACACTCCCAACATGAAGTCAGGATGAAGGGCAGAGCACGTTTTCCCCTAGAGTAAACCCATCTGTACAGGCCTATATGGAGAGGACTTTGCTGTGAGGTGGGTTTTTCCTGTTTGATCTAAAACATCCATTTCATTTTTTGAAGTATTTCGAGGTCACGCAGTCTGTTCCGTTGCTACCTAGCTGCCTTGCATCAAAAAAAGGAAGATGCTCCCATATTTGACACACTGTCTTTTAGGTTTGGGGAAGTGCTGCCTCCCCTTGGTGTCTAGACCCCCTGTGTAGTGCACGGGTGATGTGAAAACCCTCACGCGCTGTAAGAGCCGTCAGAAAGAAGCGCTAAAACCAAGGGGGATGTTTAGCTCTGAAAATGGGTGCAAAGGTGAATTCTGCCAAACTATTCCAGGGGCAGGACCAGCAAGCATGGGGGTGGAAGGAGTGTGGCAGTATGGTGATGAAGAAACTTAAGTGAATATTTATGTGTAAGAACGTGGAGATACAGAGAGGAAGAGAGAAGTGGAGACATAGATAGGTATAGAGAGTCAGAAATAGATTCCTTGGATATGTATGAAAGAAGAGAAAGATTCTTACAGCTTCTTCTGACTTTCATTTTCTCCTCCCTGGGAAGTTTCTGTAAAAATCAGTAGGGACAGTGGGATCTTCTCTGTGTCTGCATTCTTTCAGCTCACGTTCCTTGCTGCTGCACATGCCAAGACCCCATGGAAGCAGGAGCAGCAGAGGAGTGTGGTGACACTGGAGCACACGCTCTTTCTGCCTGCGGAACCGAGTGTTGTTTTTCCTTGTTACCAGCTCCAGCACAAGGCTGAGAACTGCACCTGGTGAGCCTCTACAAGCCGGCAGCTACTTCAGGTTCAAATCAGCAGTTTTTCCCGTAACTTTCATTGCTGACTGTGCCAGCATCAGCTCTGAAGAGGTGTGGAAGTCGGGTCTCTGTTGGCAGTGTGTCACACGATGCCGTTTCCTGGACAAATGCTGGTTCCAGAGACGATGACCGGTGCAGGCTTTTCAACTTTCCTGTAGTTCAGTGATCTGAACAGGTTCCAAAACCCAAGTCATGACCCTTTGTGACCCTTAGGGAGATCCTGCAAGGGAATTGACTGCTAGGAGACATCTGCATTTTTTGCATCGTAATATTGTTCAGAGAAATAGGAGGACAAGACTGGGGAATTTCTGTTTGGAATAGTATCTTGAGGGTCAAAAACTTAGTAAGTTTGAGCAAGAAGCATCAGGAGCCACCTCCTGAGGATAGCATGAGCCTGTGAGAGAGAAAGCATCAGGAAGCAGAGCGTATTTCAAAGCACTTTTTTAGCAACTGGCTCTTTGGAAGAGGGCCAAATCACCTGTGGTTCTGCTCGGACTAAATAAGGTTTAGATTGATTCAGGACTGCAACAGGAGTATCTGGCTACCTAGGACCCACAGCCTGGAATTCTCTCCTGAATCTAAGTGCTACCCTCTTTTATTTGAAAGAGCAGGGCTCACTGTTTTTGTTTACTGTAAGGCTAGTGGGCATGCCTGCTTTTTAATGCAGTAACTTGACAGGCTTCTTCTGGAAAGTGGGAGTGGCGTTCAGTTCTCTCTCTGGCGTAAGGGTGGGTTTTAACATCACTTTTATAGTCTCCCAAATAAAAGGATTGAGTATCAGCCTGTTGATACCCTCCATTATTTTTTCTGGATTTTACAACCACTGGAAAAATACTAGTGCAATCCCGAGAGCAGAACTTAGGACTCCCTATTCACTAGCAAATTCTGTTCCTTTTCTGGCCTCAGATGTCTTGCCTTGTTTGTTGCTCAGTGATGCAGCACCTGCAGAATACTACATTTTCTTTTGAAGAAATTGTGGGTTGGAACTCTCTTAGGTCAAGGACAGAATTGAATCCATTCTTCCATTTGCTGAGTTATTGGACAATGTCATCCAACCACATAGCACATAGGTATGTTTGGACTAAGGAACTTCCTTCTTTTCATCAAATTTTGCATTGAAAACACTACGCATTTTATTACTAAATATCTTTCTGTCAACCAGGTGTGTGACATGTGACATAAGGCATTAAAAAAAAAAGAGGTTTATGTGCTTACAGTATTTTAAAGTCAAATAGGAAGCAGAGTTTGCACACCTCTGAGACTAAGTGAAACTGATAAAAGATTTTCTGGATGAAAATTTTGGGTTTAGGTCCCTTAATTCCAAATCACTAATCAGCTCTGTGTTGACTCTTGAGTTCCCTGAAGACATGGAAGAACTGAATAGGAAAACTGAAGGGCCGGATTTTGAGGACTGGAAGGCATGGACATCTGGGAGGGGGAGGGTACAACAGAGCAGTAAGTAGAAGTAAGGAGAATCAGAATAGACACCACAGTGTAGACGTGAATAGGAACAGATCTGGAGATGAGTGAAAATGTCCCCAGAGGACACTTCCATTCCAAAAGCTGAAAGGGAATCTGAAAATTTTGGGGTTCTGCAAGAGCAGACTGTGTTAGCCTCCTGAAAGGGGAGAGCAATGAACGAAGAGGGTGAAAACTGTGAATGCCTGTTTGCTGAGCAGCACAAAGTCAGATGAGAATATGTTAATGTGATCTTTTATTTGAAGAGTACAGTGTAAAGAATAAACTAGAGAAAGTCAGGTTAAAGCTACACTGGAAACTATAATTTCAGTGCTTGATTTTGCAACTCTGCCTGTGTTTCAATGTGCTTATGATGTGCTATCATGTAAAATATGAATTCCATGTTTCCTAGCCTATCTTCACCAGTCATTAAAACATGTATATTATGAGATAGCAGACAACAACCCCCTGTTCATTGTCTCCACAAAATTAAAGGCCGGATTGAACATAATTTTGCAACTGGAAATGTGGGTTATTATGCAACTTCAGAGAGTGCTAAAAAAAAAAAGGCCTTTACACACCTAGGCATCATTCTTGTTGGAATGGCCCATTTTTCTCGAAGGCTTATACACTGGGTGGGGTTGATGGTGGATTCACGAATTTTTACTGCGAGTTCCTGTTTGCCTCGTGTGTTGTTCAGTGCTGGCGTATTACAGTTTTTTCTATGCTTGCTAAGTACAAAGCTTTCACCACCAATAACTAAGATTTGCTTGTTCAGCAAGTCAGAAAAGGAGCTGTGCTTCAAAACACGTTCCAGAAAACATGAGGTGGAAAAAACATGTAGGAAAACCCTTGATTGTATCACAGTTTAGTTAACTTAGGTGTTTCCTTTTAAAAAACTAAGCTGTCTTAAGTACGGTTGCTAGCAAAATCAGCTTTTGACAATAACTTATAGTAGTTTCAGTCTTAAAAGTATAATTTTAAAAGTATTTCTTTTCCAATAGATGGCAGTCTGGCTCAGTAATTTCAGGAACAAAAGCAGCCATCTTATATAAGAGTTTTCCAACTTTTTTTTTCATTGCTACATTAAAACCATGCATTTTTAACATGACTGATAGTGCAAACTGCTTAAAAAACCCACCTGTAACTCTTATCAGAGGAAAATTTATTGAACATCATGGCATATATTTAAACTACAAACTAAAATATCAGGGCTAAATTTAGAGGTGTATTATAACACAGAGGTTGCACATCAAGTGTGTATTCAAATAATCTGTGTGAATTCAAGGGCAAGTAAGAAAATTCAAATAGGTATAATTCAAAGCAGGGATCCAGAAAAATTAAGTGTGTAAGCAAAA